AGCAATGCCAGATTTACTTAGGCAAAACAAATACAATCACTACTGGGTTTACTGAATTTTATCTGCAGGACCATACCAATAGGCCGTCCTTTCTCTCGCAGACTAATTGATGCTACTCGACATGCAAAAAAAAAAACAATCATCATTGACGCAAGAAGTCAAAAAGGATTTACAAGTGTCGCAGGAATATCTGCATCAGCACAATGGATAGCGCTGAAGGTGAGGGGAGAGGTTTCGGCCTATATTTTGGGTATCAGTAGTCCTATGGTGGTTGGCCATCCGAGTTTTACAGAGGACATAACCTTTTTTGAGTTCTTTCCAATTCTGGTAGCAGTACAGCTGTGGGCAGATCAGCTAGTTAACAAGGAAATTATGTTTCATTCGGACAACCAATCAGCACAATTTGACATCTAAGTCTGCACGTGTCATGGTTCTTGTTAGGTCTTTTTGTGCTTCACTGTTTACAGCGCAACATTTTAGTAAGAGGACAGTATATCCCAGGTAGTAAGAATGTCATCGCAGATGCTATTCCTCGTTTTCAGGGAACACTGGGACAACTGGAAACAGAAGCTATCATGCTACTGGAGCTTTCACAAGCTGACAACACTAAGAAAGCCTATACAATTGCTTTGCATTCCTTTGTCAGGTTAAGATCAACTTACAACATACCAGAGCTATGGCAAGCCCCTATAGAACACTTACTTCAATATGTTTCATATACTGCACAACAAAAGTCCCTGTGACATTGAATAAGATTTAATGCAAAGTTATGTTATTTTACCAAATCTGAAACAATTTCGGTTTGCAACAGAAAAACGACTCCTGTAAGTGTTCAAATGGTTTAATTGGCCATACTGACTTCAGAAAATGCGTGATTTCATAAAAAAAACACGAACATGCCAAAATGTCAATTTACAAATCAATAGCATGTGTCCACCCCTGGTTGCGATGCAAGCAACACATCTTCGTCTCATGGAATGGACCAGGCGTCGCACAAAGTCCTGTGGGATATCTGTTCACATCTGCTGGAGCATGTTTCTAAGTTCCTGGAGTGTCTGTGGAACAGGTGGTTGACATCGAAGGCAATCATCCCACATGTGCTCGATTGGTGAGAGATCAGGGGAGCGAGCCGGCCAGGAGATGACATTCACGTTGTTTTGTTGAAGAGAATCCTGCACAAGTCGAGCAATATGAGGCCGGGCTTTGTCATGTTGGAAGGTAATTCCTGGGCCGTGACGACGCAAAAACGGTAGAAGAACAGGGCCGATCATCTCGTCGCGGAAGCACTGTCCATTGAGATTTCCCTCTACCACTATCAAACGGGTCCTCTGACTTGCTGTAATCCAACCCCATACCATAACGCTGCCGCCCCCGAACCGATCTTCTTCCATGACACAATGATTGACGTAACGTTCACCTCCACGTCGGTACACTCGAATCCGTCCATCGCTGTGGCTGAGGTGAAAACGTCAGTGAATCTTGGGTAGTGAAATGCATCGGGCTTGCATAAAAGTCAACTTTTGCATGGAATGCATGCTTTTCTGTAGCAGTTGCGTTTTTGTGACTTGATTCCATACATGTACTACAATATTGAAAACCAAACATTACTTGTTTGAAAAATACACTAAAACATTGGTGTCACAGGAACTTTGGTTGTTGAGTATATTTATCTCTGCACAACAGACCTCATTCAACTGCATCATTACATATGGCAGTGATCTGCTGGTATCACAAAGTAATGAAGCTTGCAGACACCACTGATCACTTCATACTTAGAAAAAATATTGCTCGTCATCATGTTGGCAAAGGCAAACCAGATTCTCGTGCTCCGATTACTTTGGACATACTGCATAAGTTAAGCACAGCATTAAACCATTTTTGTACTCCAATTATGAAATTCGCCTTAAGGGTAAAGAGATGTGTAATCTGTGACATCGAGAGCAGAAGTAGAAGAAGATTTACACTTCTTTTTTGTATGTACAAATTACTATGTTCTTTGAAATGAGAATGTATTTTTACCAACATGGTTATTCTTTACAAACGGTGCAATGCGGAAATTCATATTTGAGTGAGGAAGACCAAATCCTAATATTAGGTTCTATTCAAAACTTCACATTAAAAACTGGCAGTTTTTCAGTTAAATGAATTGTTTGATATAAACTGCAAAAAGATTTATTATATATACACATCTAGATTGACATGTACAATTCATTTGTTACATCTAACCTTCATTGATGTATTTATTGTAATATATCCTACACTGTATGTGTAATTGAGGGGTATTAACATAAGCGCATTGCTTGTTTACCAATTCATTTTCACACTTTTGTAAAAATAAATATGTTTAAACCAATAATGTACTGGTGAGCGAATGATGCAGGTTGTCATAGGTGAATAATAGAGATGGAAACATTCTACATACCTGGGTGACAATGTTCATATTGATATTGTTATGTACAGTAAAGTTTCGTTAATCCGACAATCGGCTTTATCCGACACTAATGATGTGAACCGATTAAATCAGTGCTATTTAGATCCGAAAACCCGACAGTCTCGCACTCCGACACACCTAATTTGCAACGAATTACCGAAATCACTCCTTAATCAGTCTCGTCAATCCGACACAGTGACCAGCGTACTCCGTGGTCATCTGCCCGAGAGTACACAGCCCATGTTTTGATACGTTGAGGGTTGGCTGGTAGCTGCATATTACAACGGCTTCAGAGATAAACCTGTTTAACATAAAACAATTAATGCTTCAAATAAAGAAAATAGGATTAACCACATGCTTAGATTGCCTCCATCCCATTGGAATCAGATACAAGTTCTCGCTATCGCTGAGGACATCCCATTACAGGTCACGTCAGAACAACTTTTCGCGAACCATGATCGACAAATGAAATGACTAACAGGAAGTCAACGTTAGCCACTTAGAAAGCAGCTTTCTTAAGCTTTGCGGTACCAGTTTCAAACTTGGGACTTCCATTTCAGACTATGCTTTTTAATGTATTTTGAATAAGTCAAAAGTCCGTAAACGTTGTTTGGTGTTGAGCTTCAGAGGTTGCATGATTAGAAACATATTCCGCTAACAACATAACACAACAATATGAATATTTCACTTTCATTTTTTTATTACGTGTTTGTATCATTATCTATTGTGTAGTTCCTATTTTCGATCACGAACGTTGATACTACTTAATTTCGTTTATCCGACATACTCGTTAATCCGACATAATCATATGCAACCAACCATGTCGGATTAACGGGACTTTACTGTATCTTACAGCTGACTTAAAGAGCAGAGACCAAAAGGGGAGAACACCGGTGATGGTTGCATCACAGACGACTGAGAGGAAGGTATGGGACTTCCTGGTGAGCAAAGGTTATGAATTGTCAGTGGATCAGTCGTACAGATTCAGTAGCAGGTGGGCTATGTGGAGGCTTTGGGCACTACACGTTACATTTAGTTTTTCAGGAACGGGGTCTCTACAGAAATAATGGCAAAACATTGGTCTCCACACATCAGTCAGTATCGACGACGTTGAGGCATTGGCCACTTACACCAAATAACCAACCAATGGGGTTCTCCATAAACATGATGGCGAAGTCTTGGCCTTCAGCAAAACTCGTATGAAAACCCTAGAGAAGCTCTGTGCAGGATGTGGACGCGCGCGAATGCAGGTACTGGTAAGCATGTCTGTGTGTAGATATGTCTTCATATTGTACACCGGCCAGTGTGTTGCCATTTCAAAGGAATAGCTTGAGCGGAAGTCATCAACAGCTCCATTGATTACTAATATAAGGGACTTCTGTGCTCTACAATCACACGTCAGAATGCTGGCAGTGACAATTGGATCTGTAAATCTTGACATTAATGCAAGCGTGAATTATTTGCGAAAGTGTGTAATAAACTTTTCACGATGGGCATCCAGTGAGTTATCTACCCACTCGTGTCAAGCATGTTGACACCTTCTCTGCAGACCAATCAGTGAACAGTTGTCAGTTCAATTATTGAATTGCCTTTGAACTACCTTAATGCCAATTCAACAGGGTAAACATATAAACTCTGTGTTGTTTTTAGCGCCTTAAACAACAGAGGGTTTATATGTTTATATGTTTACCCTGCTGTTTGATTGGATTAAGGCAAGTGTGGATTAAGGCAAGGCAAGGCAAGGCAAGGATATGAATCATTCCACTGGTAATTTCCAGATTTACAGTATATGTCTACGTGTCTGTGTACCGGTTTACGCATTGCCCTGGCTGTTTAAATTCATATTGAGCTCATCGAAAGCTATGCTTATACACAAAGGACTGTTAATGTTTTCAATACACTTTGCAGTATATATGTATTTGTGTCTACATGTCTACATAATATGTGTATGCATGGGCTTGCATACAGATAATAACGTTAACACAATCATATGCTGTATAAGTGGTGAGTTGTTCAGTTCAGTACATATTATGTGTGTTTGTTTGCAGAACATTCAGCATGCCCAGTGATCATTTAGGTCTTGAAAAAAACTGATATGAAGATGTTTTTTAGCTTTTCGGGCACAGAATAGAATATAAAATGCAAGTGGTGGAATCGGATTGGTCCATTGAGAGGCTCAGAAGGGACATAACTGGTAATTACCACTGGTTGCGCTACGATCGAGCCCACTGATTCCAGCCTAGCTCGTCAAGGGTGGAAACTGGCCTTTTTTTAGCCAGTTAACTCTCTTGCCTCGGGGAGATGGAGTGTCCTAGACCGGACTAATGCCAACTAATGGCGATTTGATAGTATTACCCCACAGAGATAATATGCTGCAGTTTAACGTGAATCTCAGACACAGTATACTGACCACTCAAAGAAGTTATACTGACCTAGCCGACCAGTCCTTGTTTAATTCACACCCCCCGTCCCCCCCACCCCCCCCCCCCATTTAATACCGAGCGCCAGACACTATACACTATAACAACACTTATTATCTTTTAACGTCTTTTATTATGAGAGAGAGAGAGAGAGAGAGAGAGAGAGAGAGAGAGAGAGAGAGAGCGCATTGGAAACAGTTTCTGTTTGCGATAAAAAGAAGAAGAATATAAATCAAAATATAATGGGGCTTCATCCAATTAAATGTATCTCTGATCTGAAAACAAAACAATAAAATGTGTACTTACTGGGTTGATTCCTTTGTGTTCAGGGTCACATACTGAGAATTACTGACACAAGCAAATAAAATGTTCTACTCAAAGTGTATTAAGCATGGCCTGATCCCAAAAGTTTGCCTTTTGTTTTATCAATATATATATGTGATTTTTGAGGTACTGTATTGATGTAACTAAAACTTGTGAATCGATGCATGTTATGTGAAATCGGTCATTGTATTGTTCGATGGGTTGAAGGCGCTTTCATATAACAGTTATAGCAATATCAGCATCCTATGTTTAATGCATAATATGTGGCATAAAACATCCAACAACACGTTTTGATATTCACACATTAATTCTCATAGTTGATACACACGTATCCGTTATGTTTAGAACACGTTTTCAAATACTCACAGAAGAGCCAGTGTCCATCAGAGCCAAATCCCGTGGTGATGCTGACGTATCTGATTTTGTTGGGTGTTGCGTCTGTCCACGACATGAACTCCCGTCTTCCGACAGTGATGCCATATCCCACTGCTACTCGACCATCTTCATAGCTTATCCAGAATGGTAAATGCTGATCTGGAGAGAGAGGCTTGTGAAGAGCAAATGCCTCGTTTGTGCCCTGCTTACTTTCTCGGATGACAGACTTTGTGTTGCCAAATCCTCCAATGACGATCTCATATATGTTATTGTCAGTGTCGCCGTCGTTGGCGACCAAGGCAATGTGGGCGTCGTTGGAGGCCCGTACCCAGAACACGAGGGCCGGAATACAGTTACCTTTTCGTGTCAAGCGGACGCCACGGGTGGTAACAGTCTGGTACTGGTAGACATTGTCTGTTGCAACACCTGCTATAGGTACCCCACTGGACATGCCTCCATCAGAATCTGCAGGACAGGAGCGGTAGACAAATTATATCTGTACTAGAAAGTCTGTGTAAACAAGGTGCTGTCGGAGTCTGAAGGTAAAAGCGGTAAAAACATTACATCTTAAAAATGCATAGTCTTTTTTTTGAACACTAAACGTCACATTGGTAGTATCCTAAAATGTAGTGACGAGAGCAAATCATACATAATTCAGTTAGCGAAGGTTCAGCAAACTAGGAAGATAAATTTCATAGATGCCATACAAAACAAAATGTTCTGTTGATAGTAAAATATAATATTCCAGCCAAAAAAAGAAGGATTCAATGACAGCATCATACTACAGACCAGTAGGGTCAACAAAAGTCTGCATGACCTGTCTGGGGGATGTTATTCCACTCTGGTTGCAAGGCCAATAACAAGTCGTGCAATGGTTTCAGGTTCAGGGTAACATTGTCGTACACGAGTATCAGGTTCATATCACATTTTCAGTTGGGTTTATTTATCCATTTTAACGTTAATATACATTATTTTCCATAATGTTGTAATTCCTGAATTTGTTTCTGAATAATGCATCATCTTCAAATAACAGAAGACATAAATGAAAACTATATCCGGTTAGAATTGTATCACACTGGTGTGGTAGTTTTAAATTTGAGTTGCTACTTCAGTATATAACCTCGCTCCGAGTTGTTCATAGAAGGTATCAGAAGAACCATTATGGTTATTCCTCACACAAGGTTATACATGGCCGTTACATGGTAAAGAATACTCGCACATAAGAAATTTTAGTTTTATATGGCTGTATCAGTCAGTTGGAAATGTAAATATGTTTCTTAAATTTCAAAATAGGTCTATAATTATGCTCTATCAATAATGGCATTCCACTTGAGAGGATAGTTCACGTTATGAATATTACAAAACCTTCAAGACTTTGCTTCAACAAGAAATAATTTTCAGTACTCACTACGGAAAACTTCAGAAAACATCAACTTAGATATTGACTTGTCTTACATGAAGCTGTATTATTCTTATAATCTGTATCTTTACATTTTCTAAATTTATTGAAAGATCTGAAACATTCTGTGGTCAAAGCAATTATTTACTTCATTTCTCACTTTGCCATTTTTTCTGTTCCTGTCAGGTGAAGCCGACAACATGCCTCTGCAATATATTCTAGGCTTGTATCAATACATATAAATGCACTGTCAAGTGATTCTTGAACAACGTCGGATGAAATATTTTTTTAAACCGTTCAAGCTTTTCATTTTCCAAAATATATCTAAAAACACATTTACAGTTTTTATTCATTTTAGGGTGGTTTCAGAAGTTTCTTCCTGGTTGGGATTGAAAGGCTTCATTATCGAAATAGTCCCTTTCACTGTTATAACACCTGAACTAGAAATAAAGGAGCCTTCATGACAAGAGGAATGACTTAATCTTTCCATTAGTCAACTGACAACTTTCCAGCAATATTCCAGCAGCTACAGCCTTTGGTGTCTACATTTCACAACTTTTAAGGTTCAATCGAGCATGCTCTTTCCACCACGATTTCAAAGAGCGTCATACGACTCTTGCTCAAAAAGTGTTTGATCTTGGTTACAACATTTAAGTCCTCAGCAGTGCTTATAAAATATCTTGGTGTGACTTGTACTAAGTGTTGCCATGTTGCCCCAGGTGAGCAATTGAATTGCATTTGCATATGACGGGTAGGAGCGGTGGGTCAGATACACTCACCTTTTTGCGAACCCATAGGGTCATCACAATGATTCAAAGACACATGCTCATGATATGGTCGGAATTGTTCAATGGAATCTTATGAATATGGAATGGGTTTTGTTGCTGTTATTTATTATGTTAATGGAAATATTACTTTTTTGTTCTTAGTTTTCAATTCCATTGATGATATCATTGGAATACCACTCAAAGACACTAAAGACATATTATTTCCTCTGTACTAATCCTTACCAAACTGCCAGGACCCAGAAGACCCGAACCCCGTTGTGACGGCGAGATAGTTGACCTCATAGGGAGCTGGGTCCGTCCAGGTCATGAACTGTCCTGCGCCAACAGTCGTCCCTGTGCCCACTGATATCACACCTCCTTCCCAACTGATCCAGAAGTCGCGGAATTCCGTGGAACTGAGAGGAGAATGAAATGTTTCGACCCTGTTGGTTCCCTGTCTGCTGTTTCTGATTATCGATCGCGTATTGCTATATGCACCGAGGACGATTTCGTACATGTTCTGTCCCGTTTCGCCATCATAGGTGAGCAAAGCCACGTGGGCGTCATTTGAAGCCTGGATCTGTAAGCATTTTTACATATATTTTCATTTCAGCCTAATAGTAATCAGAGACATACAAATGCTTGGGTGAGCACATTAGAACGTTGCATCAGCATTGTTTTAACCTTATAGAGTTATACAGTATGAGGCATAATTATTGAGAATTGAAAAATCTTTAAAATTGTAAATATGAAAATTTCTCCCCAAAATATAACATATTTTATGTGAGCACAAACCTTCTTTAATCACATCACAGAAGCATCAATATTTTATCAGACCACCATTTGCTTCCAAACACAGTTTTATACGATTGGGCATACTTCCTATTAGAGAGGTTAGAGTCTCGTGGGTGAGAGAGTCCCAATATCGCACCACCTCGCGCTTCATGTCATCAACTTTTATCAATCCCTTTTGGTTCACCGACTCCTTCATGAGTCCCCCACATATTTTCTATAAGTTTTAGTCCGGGCTGTAGCTAGGCCAGTGCAAAACTGTCACATTGTTGTCCACAAACCACTGCCGCGCATGTCTTGCGGTGTGTTTGGGGTCATTATCCTGTTGCAAAATCCAAATATTTCAATAAAAAATTCTGCATTTGGGATCAGGTGAGCTTCCAAAATGTCTGTATACCTTTCACTGGTTAAATTACCCTCGAAAACACACATGGGCGTAGTTCCAAGTGAAGATATCCCTCCCCAAACATGAACTTCGGACTGTACTTTGGTCTCTGGTTCAGTGGAACGGAATGACATGTTGTCCACATTTTAACATTGTTAGGATATACCCATACAGAGCTCTCATCTGTGAAAATAACACTGTTCCAGTCAAAGTCTTCATGCGCCAAACACCACTCTACACGTCTATCCTTGTGTTCTTGTTTAAAGAGCGGGGAGGCAAATCCTTTCTTTTTTTCCCATCGAAGTTCAATCAAATTTCTTCTTACTGTAGATTTGGATAAGTTTACTGTCCCTCTGTTTGCCATTTCATATTGGATTTTTGAGATACTCGCCCTTCTGTTTTTAGAAGCCAAAATACCCATTCTCACACGATCACCAAACACCAGTTTTCAAGGTCTCCCCGCTCCTTTTCTGTGCTCGATTCCTGAACCATTCTCAATATTCTTCTTAACTCTATGCACTGTAGAAAGAGGAGTATATGTGCTCTTTGCTAATGTAGCAGCATCAGTGATGCCTTCATCATGGAGCTGTAGAATCAACCTTCTTTTCTCCTCTGCACTCACTCCTGATTTATATCAGGAAAGGTCGTCTGGTCCTTAATCAAGGGAGATAATTTGCTACTTCTAAAATTGAAGAAGAGTTGCTTCCCCTACCTCAATTTTAAACGCTTGTCAATATTGATATTTTATGTATGCTTCCTTGAATATGACATTAAAATTCACAATAATTTTGAACAAGAATGTATGTATATGAAGTAATGAAATCTAAATTTTATTGATCGTAATAAGACGAATTAGCTGCCAGATACATTACAGTTTCGGCATGCTGGATGTTCTCAAACCACGGTGGAAAAGGACTGTCTCCTCTTTTCATAGTTTTGATGTAGTGACCAAAAAACACATCTAGGCTCTAACAAAAGAAAAACACCCAAGACTAAAATATTATGAAACCAAAGAAATATAGGTTTAAAAGCTCTCCATAATCCAGCAATTTGAACCCAATACCAAGTGACTCAATACTTAAAATGTCGGTGAATGAGCTCTTGGTGTTTGTGGAAAAACTCAGCAACATTTATTTTCCCGTGTGAACGAACTGAACATTAATGAAAAGAACGCAAGCATGTACTGTAACCACCCAATACTCCTTTTGGGTTGCCCTCACGACAAGCCTCATACTGGGGATGCATTCTGACTCTGAAATAATGAAAGGTGACGAGGAATGATGAAATAAGATACTTTACTTTGAACTTGAAGGATGTGGCTTGTGATCTTATCTTCACATCCACCTCCTGCAATGACTGGTAGTTATACTGGGTGTCTGTCTCAAGCTCTACATACTGCCTCGTCGCTGACCAGCCATAAGAGTCTAAGAAAGACAACAAATAGTCAAGCACTGCGACCATGTCATATCCGCGCCGATACGGTACGATGACATGCAATCATGCATATTACCACCCTCTTACGACACGCATTAATTGACGGAATCCTTGTTTAACTCATTATCACGAATGCATCATTGGCAACAGTAAAAACGTCAACGCCAGAGAATAACCAAGCTCGATTATCCACCGAAACAGATTCCAGTGTCCAGGAAATATCGGGTGCAGATAATATGAATGGAACATAGAAATGCTGTCTAATAACATCCGGGCTTGAAAACCCTTGCCTTCCCTCGACAAGCGACAGGTGGATCGGGTGGTGAATACCAGCTTGAATTTTGCTGAGTAAGACAGCCGGAATAATACTTCTGGTGTACCTACGGTTACAGGCCAAGTGGTAAATCAGATACTAAGATGTAAATCCATGCCTTATATAGCGATTTTATAGTGCCAGACCACTGATGCCACTCGGCATGGATACCCCACCCAGACACAGTACTCATTACGGAAAACTTCAGAAAACATTTAATTAGATATTGTCTTACATGAAGCTGTATTATTCTTATAATCTGTATCTTTATATTTTCTAAATTTATTGAAAGATCTGAAACTTTCTGTGGTCAAAGCAATTGTTGACTTCATTTCTCACTTCGCCAGTTTTTCTGTTCCTGTCAGATGAAGCCGGACAACATGGCTCTACAATATATTCTGGGCTTGTATCAATACATGTAAATGCACTGTCAAGTGATTCTTGAACAACGTCAGATGAAATATTTTTTTAAACCTTTCTAGCTTTTCATTTCAGACAGTATACAGACTCAGAGGCGACCAATCCTTTTTTGGAACTTATAGTAGAGCACACGTTCTCTCCGATCAAAAGATCAACATTTTCTAGGGGTTCTGTCACGGAGCTGTGCTCCTGAGACCAGGATGTCCTTAAACAAGAATAAAGTAATAATTGAAAAACGTAACTTGACTCCTGATAGTAAATAGGCACTTGACCTAAAGTAAGCAATCATGGGAAAGTTGGTTATCGACGGATTACTTGGAAAATGGGGTACAAAATGTAAATATAAAAGCCTAGCTAATACGTTTTAGCTAAATACCAATAGAATACGTCAGTACCAGACAGAAAACTGCCCTTTAACCAGTAAGTAAGCATGATGGTCTAGCGATACCTGGAGGTAAAGATTTCTCCAAAGGTCAATACTGTAGGGCTATTGCGTGAAAATCAAAGTAACTAAAACAATTTCAATAAATTAATAAATTTGTATAGATATACTAGGTAACATATAACAAATACATCCATGATAAGTGTATGCGATTAAACTCCTAGTGAATTTCTTTTAAGGTTATTAATTCTCTAAGGCCAGGTTCACACAGTGCCGTTATGGCTACCTCTTGAGATCAGACAGCGCTTCGATACAAAAAGTGAAAAAGTCGGATTACTGTCCTCAATGATCTTGAATGTCCTGTCACTGTCTGAACGCAGCCTTAAACATTCGTAACAGAGTCCTACGGATCGCGAAAGATCCAGAGAGGTCGGCTAAGCACTCCCGACAGTATGGTGCGTCCCGTAACATTCGGGAAACTCTGCCGATTTTGCCGAGTCGAATTACAATCGTGACTATGTCGCGACAGATTCTGCTGTATCGGATCAAAATCGTAACAATGTCCTGTGTTGTCTGGTCGGTGCCCTGTGGATCGTGATGAACGTGCATGAATTGTTCATTGTCGTTTCTTTGCGATTGAGTCCAGATTGCGTCCAGATCTTGCCGAATGCGAACCGTCTTTGTCGGTTCACTGTCCTGCCACAGTCTGATCTCTGTCGGATCGCATTCGGGAGAATCGGGACACTGTCAGAACAGATTCGGTCGTTTTTCAACCGTTTGCCGAACGGTGACGACGCCGGGCAATTAAGAGAGAGGGAAGCAGTACTTTCACTAGACCGTGACAAGACTAGATTTACGACCCCGTCACAGGCACCAAAGTCACGTACCCAAACATATGGCGATAGGCTATTTCAACATTCTGGCCTATTAATATGGAAAATATTTAAGATGGAGTCTGAGAATAATAAGCGCTAGAGAATAATATTTATAATGAACGTAAAGACACTGGAGTACGATGACCCACAGAATTTGTTGAACGGTGACGACGCCGGGCAATTTTTGTTTTGTTCGTTGTTTAAAACCGCAATATTCCAGCTATATGACGGCTGTGTGTAAATAATCGAGTGTCAACCAGACAATCCAGCGATTGACATCATTAGCATCTATCCACGCAATTAGGATATGATGACATGCATCAAACAAGTGAGGAATTCTGCTCACTCGATCCCGTTAGTCGCCTCTTACGACAAGCATAGTCGCCTTTTACGGCAAGCATGGGTTGCTGAAGACCTATTCCAACCTGGATATTCACGGAGAGAGGGAAGCGGTACGGTCATTAGGCCGTGAATACACTGGTTTTACGGCCCGTTCACATGTACAGAAACATATGGCTACAGGTTTTTTCAAGATGCTGGCCAATTGCTATGGAACAAATAAGAACCTGAGAAGCAGATCTTTGAAAAGGCAATTACGTCCTGTGTGTTCAAGAGAGTGTTTGACCAGACTAATCATTGTCTACACGCTGAGTGAGGTGTACGTGTGGGTGCATTTCACAAGACCGAGGAGCGTCCATTCCAATTTAGAATGAACGTTGGATTGCTTTGGAAAGATCGTTCATTCCAACCTTTCCAAAGCTTGGAAGGATCGATCTTTACGTAAAATCCAAAATTGGATTGGCAACATTTCCAAACATATTTCCAACACAGGAAATGTTTGGAATGACTTGGAATTGTTTGGAATTGTTTGTAAGTATGTTTAGAAGGAACACATTAAAATATGTTTTATTAGTAATTTGAACAATAAAAAGACTGAATTTTCTATTGAGTTTAAACTATACATAATAAATAATAAACTTATCTCAAACATTCACTACTTGTCTGTCTAGCGAGGGGCTTTTACAGTCGTATTCTCCCTTAGTTGAGAGAGAGACCCGCACTCGACGCATCAAGACAATAATAGGTCTCAAGATTAAGTTTTCGGCTGGATGGCAGCTGCCATTTAATTATAAAATAGACAGTCGCCTAGACGGCTGACATGTAAGTGCGCCGACATGTTCCTAAAGATCATAAAATGGACAATCTTTGGTAACATCTAATTTATTGTTGTCTCACGCCAGAGCTTTGAGTAATTCTGTTCATTGAACAATTGGAATTCAGGAATTATCAATACTTGTTTTACTTTATATAAGATAAGATAAGTTCACAGACTTTGATTTCCAAGTCCCGATTATCAAATCAATGAGGTATCAGTTTCACCACATGTGCACAGACCGCCTATGCGTATATATATATCTATATCTATATATATATATATATATATATATATATATATATATAGATATATATATAGATATATATATATATATATTTCATAACTATTTACCAGTTAAAGTCCTGTCCTCTTTTCAAATAATCTGAGAGAGTAATCATCATTAACGAAACTCATTCTCATCAAAGAATACAGAACAAATAAAGAATCAGATGCATACATTTATTGCAATGCTTCATTCATCACGAAGCAGATTTACATACATTTGTGAATAGCACTTAAACTTTTACCATTGTCCATGTAAACATAATAATATATACATATATACAAAACAGGACATGCATTTAATAAATATTTTCCATAATATGGATTTCCGAATATATAAACGATTTCAACGTTGATATTCCAGACAAAAAGAAATCTTTTGTCTTTTAACGTTCAGGAGAAAAGGGTTTGCTTTCACAAATGAACATATATATGGTTAGCGTCATTATACAGCAAGGGGGGAAATTCGTTTGCTCTAACTGCCTTCACAAAAACATTCCAGCCCTTAATTACCGAGGCAGCTCGGCATTGCCTAAAAGTCGGGCCAAGACGGGCTAAAGTGTTATTGGCTAATTACTTCATTTCGGATGCAACATACACACATGACATTACTGAACAATCACTAACCCA